GTCCACTGGTGTTCATTCGTGTTCACTCGCGTTCTGACTCGTGTGTTGTTTTTGAACAGATCATGGCAAGAATCGAACCTACGCTTTTGCGATATCGGTGAAATGCCCTTGCCATTGAGAACGTATATTTGACTCATTTTTCCATCCACTGTTCCTGGCTTGAATTTGAAGTGTGTATAATACCACTCGAAATTAAGACCTTTTAACCTATTTGATTCTTGATAATACAATCGCGTTCTTCCAACAGCTCCGTTTTAACCGTGTACTTAAGGGTAGACGGCTTGGTAAAGGAGACAATAAAACCTGACACGAGTGGGTCATTTTGGTATGACCAAAGCTGGTTCAGGATACTTAGAACATATCATCGTCGTCGTCATCATCATCTCTGCCTTTGTTTTCCTTCACATGTTCACATCGTTTAAAAACTTCTTAATAAGAAACTTTCTCTTATCAACGGCACCTTCTATTGCTTCTTCTTGGTCAAAATCATCATTTGTAATAAACATATTTTCTTATGTACCGGATCTTTCTTCAGTTGTCTCATCCACAAATGGCGCTTTAAATAGATATTTTCTAATTCTTCCTGGAGTCTAGCATGGCATTGAAGTAAGCTTTCTTTTTAGCATAGTGCTCATCAAAACCACTGTTTATAAGGCTTTCTTTCATTTCCTCGAATACTGTGTTACTTCTATGTTATGCTTCTTCTATTAACGGCATCCAGGGATCCACTTCTTCTTCACATTCTGAGTCCGTTGTCGTCGAACTTCCAGATTGCTGAGTGGAAGTGGTCGAGACATCATCTTGGAAATCACTTTCTTGACTGTCCGAGTCTGTTTGAGACATGTTTCTTTCTTGTTCTCGTAGTAGGCAATACTCCCGTTCGGGTCTGCGCTGATTGTAACTGCGGCTGAAATATCTTCTGCAAAATTGGCAGCTCATCCCCTTAGCACTAGAAGTGTGTAAATGCCTTGTTATCGAGCAGCAACGCAGTTTTATGAGCAGATGTCTGCTCATGTGTAGTTATGAGATGTGCTAATCTGCTCAACGGTACTTTTTCCTAGTCCAGTACATTCACACAAACTAAAATGTTAGCAATCCCTTATGTACTTTTTCGTTTCCCCCTAGATAGAGGTTGTTCGTTTGCAGTGCTTAGGTAAACATTAAAGTTTCTCTCCATCTCTTCTTGATAATAAATTTCTCTCCATCGCGCTCTAATAAATTTTCCAGACACTCCTCCATATCGAATTCCTTTGGTTCTTTACTCTGTCGAGGTACACATATTCCTTTCTTACTCCACTTTAACCATCTCTTGCTTCCTCTGTGCCCATATCGTGTACTTGGTCGAGATGATTTGCTAACCTTGCTAAATTTGTACTACCACAGCTAAACACAGGACAGCTCCTACGAGTGCGACGCATATTTAGATGATTGCTCAACAAATTCCTAATAATAATTGGCTCATTTTTTTCGTAAGTCAGGTATTTTATTAGGCCCGTTTGGGCCCTATATGGCCTTATATGGCACTATTAGGCCCGATGGCCCGATTGCTGCATGACTAGGCGTCCTAACCCGGACAAGTCCGGGCTTTTCAATGCAAACTCTTGCTTACGGAAGAAAAAGTCAAACGATCTAAACAAGAAAACAGTGTAGTGCCCGGACAATATGTTTAAAATATTTGTAAAATTGTTCTACTTAATTACATTGTTACAAGCGTTAATACGTGTCTTAATTTATGCTTCAAGCATCGCGTTGTCCATAACACCAATATATATTTCGATTCGCTCTAAAAATGCACACATTTTCGCATTCGCCATACCCCCCTTTTTCCTCCCTTTGAGGAGTTTGGGCCTGAAATATCTCATTAAGCGGATGAGCATCTGCTCATGAGCATTTATGAGCATGTGCTCATAGGCCCGTTTGGGACTTATATGGCCTTATATGACCCTATTAGGCACGATGGCCCGATTGCTGACTGCATGGGCATCTTAACACCGAATATGGACAAATATTCGATTAAACATTGGGGAATAAATGTTCCCTTAGAACATTCCTCTGCAACACTGCAAATCTATACGTCGTATACGTACATTTTTTTATTATGTATACGAATACAACGCCCATAGGATATGTGACCTTCCACGGGAAAACGTACGTTAACGATATTTTGTTGAAACGGCAAAACGACGGATAACGAACGGGTAGTGAACGATCTGTAATAACGTTTCAACGAACCCAGAAAACGTTTTGACGAATTCAGCTAAAAATGTGAACGTTTAAAGTCGAGAATACGAACGGATAAATAAACGTTCAATCTGAAGCCGTTTGAACGATTTATGTTTATTAACGGTTTTAACGAATTTGTCTGAACGCCTGTTGCGCGTATAATTGACGCAAGATATTATTGACTAATTTATCTAATTAAAAGAATAGGAAATATTTTCAAACAAGTAACATGTGTTGTTCCAAGTATGTGTGTACATAAATAGCTATACCTTCATTTGAATGTTTAACTAAAATTATTAGCTATACTACCTAAATCCCATTATTTTATACTTTATATACATATATACATTGGCGTTTTGCATCAAAATTCGGGTTAATCGTTAGAAGCCTTCAGTTATTAGTATATATTATCATCGTTATGTCAAATTAATGCATCATCTGCAACTATACCCATCAAAATATTCAGCGCGTGTTCATTTGCAACATCGTTACAGGTTTTGTAAATTTTTCCACGAACAACTCTATGTATGAGTGGTTAAAGACATATAAACAAAGACATACAGGCGATACAGCATGCATCCGTTTTATTAACACGGCTGTAAACCGACAGTAAACAAAAATTGCCGTCTCAGTTTGGTTGAGTTTCAGCTACTGGATACATACTTTATGTTAAACTAAACACAAGAGATTCCATTGTACACTTTTGTTTATACTCTTTGACGCGCAAACGATTAAATTAATTAGCGCAAGGATCAAGTTGTTTACAGATGATAACCAAACATTAATACAGAATATCGCATACGCAAAGTTCGTTTGTATGCGAACCAGCGTAGTAACGTGTGCTTGCATGCTGTCAAAACTTATTTGGTATAAATACTACATTAAATATCCACACCATTTATACACATGAAATCCACATTTCAATTTCAGCAATGCATTGCGCGGTAATAAAATATTTAAAATATAGGCTTGGATTTTACCTAGTGCACACAAATGTTCCGTGCAGCAACACCAGTAGCCTAGCTTTAGCCGCGGTCAAGCTTGTCGCGAATGTCGCCTATACACAGTACTGTCAGTAGCAAGTCACTAGCAATAACACGGGACGAAAAGATAGATTTGCCTGTATGCAAATGTATGGGCAAATTTATTGCCAATTTCAAATTCGATCGTATATGACCACATTTGCACCATTGCAAATTTTTAAATTTGCCTCGTGTTTGCACCTAGTGCGATACAGTGATTGCCGCGATGCACCGGGTGCAAATTTAGTGCAAATTTTATGGTAAATTTATAACATTGCACATATTGCGATTGCAGTGTGATTTTGTTGTGAACATAAAATTTGCGATTTGTATCACGCGTGTTGCCATTTTCGTGGAAAATGCAAAATGAAACTTGTTCAAATTATGCTGGTCGGTTTGATTTGTTTGCGTGTGCTTTCTATTTTTGTGTCGCGCAATTGAATTTTTTAAAGTGTAAACGAAGGTAAATAAAAAATGATTTTTTTATTATTTTTAAAAAATATATTGAAATCGTACATATATATATAAGACAATAATATAAACACGTAGAGTCATAGATTCAATATAAACCTATAGATGTTCAAAAATATCCTGAATAGATCCTAATGCGTACAATAATATAGCTACATGCTATTTATAAACCGATATAATTTATATACATTTAGTTAAAAAATGTCTATACAACAGAATTCGAAGCCGGCAACCTATTTTTTTCGCATATCGTTCTTATATTGTATCTTCTAAAATCTTATAAAATTTTTCAAATTATTGTTATTTTCCATACTCTCCAGTCATATATACTTCATATTTTTTTATAAAACATGAACATGGAATTTTTCATCATGTAGACCACAGTTAATAGAACATACATGGTTTAGAGACTACATATAATTAATTATATATACGGTATATAAATATATATATATATAAGTAGTTACAATAAAACTCATTAACTATATATATATATATATATATATATATATATATATATATATATATATATATATATATATATATATATATATATGTCGTCGGGAAACATTTATGCAAAATTGTTCCTTATTCGCCACGTGTCTATCGTATTTTGAACAAATAAACCAATAGTAAGGTCTGAATTAACATGTTGTTCAAGAGGATCTAAACCAAGCTATAATTACTATTTGTTAATTGGGCAAAAATACAGAAGACATGCATGTGACGGATAAAGAACAATTTTCAGCATAAACCTGCAGGGCAATAACATAAATAATGAGTTTTATTTTACTTCCATCTATAGTATCCAAACCATGTATATTCTAGCTAATAACTGTATGTAGACTAAGGTGCAAGTTTGCCGGGTTGAGAAATCCTCAACAGTACTAGTACGGAAAATAGCTATGCAAATTTAAAAGATTGATGGCTATATTTGTTTTCCATACTGCTCAGTATGGCTCTACAGCATAGAAATACTGGACCATACGTCGTCAGCATATGTGACTTAATGAGTTGCACATTTTCTTACGTAAAGTGTACAAAATTTACGTAATTAAATTTGGTTTTTCCATACATCCAAAAAATAGGTAGCGCTGAACTCTTATACATATAGTTTAATCATGCAACAGACTAGTTGTTCACAAAAATGGAAACATTTTAACGGTAATTAAGTGTAGTTTAATAACCTGTTTTTAAATTTAACTTTCTTCCATCATCAATGGATGCCATATTTATCTAATTTTTAATCATCCAATCAGGGATGTCACTTGGTGGCAAACAAACCATTCTTTCGCCCATAATTCTTTCTTTGAACATGGAGCGAGCCTTCTCCGAAATTCGCCTGGTATATTTCCGGTCCAAGCTTTCCAACACGCTTTGGAATCTCTCGCTACGCCATGACAATGGGCGGGTTTTTAATATTTTCTTCGTACCCAAAGCGTCATCGTCGGATTCGGACTCGTCATCTCTTTCAATTACCTCTTCCTCGCTGTGCTCGGGAGACATACATGATATTTTCATCCCCTTTCTAAATTCTGCCTTTTCAGCCTCAGGCCAAGAGGTAGTTTTATATAGTGCATCCAGCCGGCGTCGAAGTTTCTATAAATATACGAGAAAACAGTGCATTAGCTGTGTAATCATTAGCTATGTTGATCTGAACTAGATTATTTTATGATAATTATGTCTCTCATAGATTTCTTGTTATTCTTATAGTTGTATTTAAGTTGAATAAGAAATGCGTATTATTCTTTTTGAGGCCCAAAAATGGCAAAGAGAGGGATTGATGTCCCAAAAATTAACAATGTTTGAATGTCCCAAAAAATTGCGAGAATTTCAGATGAAGTTATATGTGTCGAACGAGAGGTTGGAAACGTTTTGTAAATCAGGTTCGTAATTTCCGTGCATTAAACTAAAGTATACAAATTTGCAAACTTTGCAAAGCCACATTTTTGGCATCTCATGACATTTCGCAACCAAACGTTGCATTTCTACTAATTTCAGTACGCTCTTTTTAGCTGTGGTGATTTTAATGGGTTATCTTGCATGTATAAAAAAGTTGCCTATAATGCAAAAGGTCCATTTAATCTTTATGTTTGATGATTTAATCTTTGTATTTGGCTCGTGAGAGCAAAACGTGAAATCCGTCTCATGGTTTTGAACAACGGCATATGCTCTGCGAAAGTTGGAAAGGCAAACGAGGTACGTTTTTACATTGATTTCTTACATCTGCCTTGCGATGGCGACGTCGTTCATTTTGCAAAATATTACTTCTCTGCCCTGAATCGACCTCCTTGCGTCTCCTCCGCATTGTCAAGAAATGTGCCTTCATTGCTCCTAGAAAATGGTATCAGACTGCATGATTCAATCTTGAAAGTTCGTCCGAAAAAGGGCAACGTTCTCATGATAAGTGGGATTCATGCAATTGTCTCATCTAAGAGAAGATTGGTGAGGTACGTTTTTCGTTTATGGCACCAGAGTCAGAGGAATATAAACTCAACTATTCCGGCATATATATAATCAATCACCTAATCATATATTTATCATTTATAGACCAGGGGCCGGTTGTATCAAAGCCGGATAGCGCTATCCACCGAATAGTGATTTTTTCAACCGTTCTAAAAATGCTCGAAAGGGGATAAAATTTCAGCTTGAAAGCAACAATTATTAAAGAGGATCTTCAATTTAGGAATACTAAGATTTAATCAAAGTTGTAGCAAATAACGGGCGATTTTGAAGCAATTGAAAAAACCACTATCCGGTGGATAGCGCTATCCGGCTTTCATACAACCGGCCCCAGGGGCCGGTTGTTCGAAAGGTGATAAGTCGCTATCCAACGGATAACTCGCTATCCAACGGATAAGTTTTATCCAGCGTGTGATTTGCGTTGCACGAAGCTTGCATAACTTTATCCAGCGGATAAAAATCGCTATCTACCGGATAAATTTATCCAAGGTCCGGAGGTGGTTTAAATCCACTATCCAGTGGATAAATTCAAAGATACAAGGTAACATTGTAAACATTTATATAAAATAGGACAAAAATGCAATATTCCTGTTACTGTGTTTCAACAAACTAATGCACATCATGATTGCATGTATTAAAAATGGTTTCGCGAAGTGCAATTTTTCGCAGCAGCGTTTTACGTTGCCTAGACATTCCTTTCCGAGCGGCGATTTTTTGGACATCCTCGCATTTATAACAGGCAGTAAATTTACTATTGTTCAAGTCTTTTCCATTCAGTAACTATACTCGAGAATTCGTAATGATTATGAATTCAATGTTGTAAATGCTTAGCAACAGCTGACGTTGTGGTACGAAATTTCAGTATAATCCAGTTTTCTTCGGTAAATTTTAACTTATCTATTGGATAGCTATCCACTTCACTATCCACGCTTCGTGCAACGCGTTTTTATCCAATGGATAACTATCCACTGGATAGCAGATTTATCCGTTGGATAGGACTTATCCGTTGGATAAGTTATCCATCTTTAGAACAACCGGCCCCTGGAGCGAGGGGAATTCGATGAAATATTACCCCGAAGGGAAAATATATCCCGAGGGCTTCACTTCCATATGAACGCAAATTCTCGATTTTTCCCGGTAAGCCGGTATTAAAACACGATCACACACGCTTGCCTGCAAAGGTAGGATAATAAGTGGGATAATAGGCGGTATGAATTGCATATGAAACGACCTTCAAACTCATCTCAGCAAGCCGAGCTCTCCTGGCTAACCGGGCTATCCCACCTCATATGAACAGGCCCTTAGTTCCTTTCGAAATTGATTATTTTTACGGTCTGCTAACATGAATGTATGAATATCAGCATCTCCACTTAACGATACTCCGCCGCAGCTTGTTTTATGCCGTGGGTCAAAATCAAACGTAAGCTATGGGAAGGTTTTCAAAATTTCCTACTTCCGAACAACCCGTGTACCGGCGGTAGCAGTTTGGGTCTATGCTTGAAGCAGAACAAATTGAAACGGAGGCTAGGTTGGATCGGATTCATTTATTTTTCAAGGAACAAGCCCTTAAAATCGTTAGCTATCTCTAAGTTTTGATGTGAAAATTAATAATGATAGATTGATAGTCCTATCACGTGTTGTATCAATCAAAATAATTTGTGACACCCCCGGTTAAGCTTAACACGTGCGCCAGACTGATTCGTCATCTTCGTTGCCATGTTTTCGTGTTGAAAAAATATTTAATGGCTTGAAAATTGACTCTTGTATTCTATATTTTATCCTATGAATTAATGGGCTTAACGTACTCCTTTTGTGTATGAATATTAATGTCAAAGTAAGTATGTATTAAAATGTATTCAAACCGCATGATTTTGTGTTTGCCTAAGTCGCAATATACATTCCGGGGATATTTTCATTAAATTTTTACAGCTAAAACCCAGAAACAAACGTAATTGAACTTTCTCTCCTGACGGGATAGAAAACTCTACAAACATTCGAATCACCTCAAATATATTTTCATGCATGGATGCTGAGACCTACTGTACACACGTTGTTTACCCTGTCAATACCTGTTTGCATTTTGTCATCCAGGGCTGAAAGTGAAAGTTACTTTTCAAATAAACTGCTTGTATAAACTGCAATATACCCCATCTTTACTAGCTATAATGCTCAATATGCACACCGGTTCCTATTTAGGCATGCATATATAAACAATTTATAGTAATGCAGTATGCCAGATGAGTATACAGGTTATTGAACAAGGCAATAGATGGTACCATGCAGAATTACTTAGACAGAATTCAATCACTTCTAACTGCCTACCAGAGAATGGCGATAAAAAGTGCTATACCTAACCATTAATTGGCTTAGTAACACCTCATAATTTTGTTATTCTATTTCTGGTACTATACAATGATCCAGGCTCGGAACATTAAAAATCATTTCTATGACAGGTAAAATTTGCCATTATATATATTTTGAATATTTTGAACAAAAAAACCCTGATTCAACCCTGTAGTTTGTATGCTATTGAACCATCTAAGGGCTTGGTAGACTTTAGTGCTAATTAAGCCTAGCTGCAAACTATTGCAATTGCTGTTCTACATCTAGCAGATCTTTTTTATGGATTTTAAAAAGTTCCCTGAGTAACTTAATACGTTAGAGGATGCCATGTAAATGTCTCTTAACACTGGCCTCTTTGACAGAGGATGAGTCTGAATTGCAAAAAAATATATGGTGCTTACAATAATCACTTATTGGTGAAAAACACAGCCTATTGTTGTTGTAAGCTATGCTTTTCCTTTACTGCAACTTACTTTCAATTATCTGATCTGACATCTTTTCCATGCCAGTCAATGCCTTGATATTTGTCACCAGGAGTTTGTTGGTGTCTTCATTAGCTGTTGCTCTAAAACTACATTATAAATTTAAATACTAAAATGTTGCATGTATCTAGGCAATTATTAATTTTTTTAAATTCATTTTATGTACCATTTGCTATATGATGTACAAAACCTATTACATCACAAAATGTGGAATATATATACCCACCTCTGAGTTAAGTCCCATCCCTGTTCTAAGCCTTTTACTGCTAAACGGACAGTACGCTGAGAAATTAAATGTAATTGCATATAGGTTATTGGGTAGTTACTAAAGCTCTCTTCTTTAATCTATATAAATATTGATGTGCATAATAATTATGTCAATATTGTCTGAAATTGTTTTATTTTTAGGAAGTTTTACTTGAAATCCAAATGAAAATGATTATAAATCAATGAAATTGATGTAAGTATTCATCATCATGAAGATTATAATAGCATGCAATATAACAATAGAGTTGATGTTTGCTGGCATAAATGTGTTTTTGGCCCGACTCTGGACTTATTTTAGCCCGAGCGTAGCGAGGGTTAAACAGTATTCTGAGGAGGGCCAAAAACACATTTATGCCCAAGAACATCAACTGTATCACTATTATATTAACTTTTTAAAGGGCGATTTTTGTATAGAAACACTACAATGGATAAACACTACAGTCGTTCTTCTGATTGGCTAAGAACAAGGTGGGCTAAAATAGATTTTAGCCTGGCAAATTTATCATTTTAGCCCGCAAAGTACACCGCAATGCCCACCAAAGTTAATATAATAAAATATTAGCTACTACACTTCTTTACTAAAACTGTCTTGTATTATTTATATATATCTGACCATACATAATATTAATATTGTCTAAAATCTTTCATTATTTTATAGGGAGTTTGGATTGGAATCCAAGTGACAAGTATTAATTAATCACTGAAATTACTGTAAGTTTTCATCATCATTGAAATTTACAAGCATGCAATATTCCAGTGGCATGTATGGAGTTCTACCCCTGTTTAATCACCAGAATATTCACATTTAAATTATCATGCTGTTGACAATTTCTACTGTCATCCCTGACCCTGGGCAATTAATTTTCACCCTTTTAAAGGGAAAATCATAGGAAATGGACTAGACAAACTATAAACAGAATAAAATGAAAATCTGAAAAGGGAAATTTGCTTTATATCACTATACCCAATACTCAAGGTCAGCAGCAAACCATATCCTGCATGACATGCTCATGTTTGATTTCATTGTTGCATTGATTAATGATTTGGTTATATGCACCATTATTATTATATGTTGATACTGTAGTCCTTCCTTCCAATCCCTCCTCTTCTTACAAATTCAAGTTATCATACTGTACTACATTGCATTGTTTGCTTTGGGACACCATTGTTGTATACATTTAAGCATTTGCAAAAACTGTATTCTGTTGAAAAAGGCTTAGTGGATCGTAATACATACACAGTTTTTCTTCCCCATATAGAAATGATTGATTAAATTACTTTAATTCGAATGAGTAAGCATTTACCTTTAAAATAAGGGGGATTTTCTCTCGGGTAGCAAGCTGTGCCCCGCGCTCTTTAGCTATATTCTGCTCTTGTTGATGTAATATTTTTTATTTTGTTCAATGATTGTCCGTTGACTTGCCAAAATACGTCGCATGAGTTCCTCATTCTGACCATTGATTGCCATTTTTTTAAAAAACTGGTAGCTTTCGTTAAAAAATTAAATGTTAAGTGTATAAAAACTGGCTTGTCAAAACAACTTGAAAATTTTTCCTTCGAGTTTCCCTCTCGAATTCTAGATTTAGCGCGAAATAAATATGAGGCTTCTAATTGGTTGGTTTAGGTCACCTGGACACTTATAGTGTCCCTGAATAGCATCTACTACCCCCGTTTAGCCCTTTGTGTTTCTTTTAAACTCTTGTTTTTATATCAACATCGCTTATAAAAATCTAAAAACAATCATGGCTGAATACAACAACTATATGACCTTGTGTCCACATTGCAGACCTATTTACCTGCAAGAACTTTCAGGCGACATAGGGAAGTTTATTTTGACCAAAATTCAAACCCGTGGCAGAGATCCAATTTTAGAAGGCAGTAGTGATGATGAAGACAACTTTATTGTGATCGACCAGGTCACTCCATGTTTCCCTCTTCCATCAAATCATTGCGATAGCAATTATACTGAACCTGACTCGGCTGATGAATTGTTCCGCGAAGAACTGCTTGAGCGTGAGATCTGGGATGATATTTCAGATAATGAAATCGACGAAGACACTAAAATTCCATCCGTTAGTGTCAATACGTCAGATTCTCCTTCCAACCGCACGTTGCTCAATTGTCTAGTTATTTTACTTGCGTTTTTTTGGACCTACTTTCCCATACCGGACAACGCAATGGAGTTTTTGCTTTTGTCGTTGAAACGATTCTTTCAAGCAGCATCTCTTTCCAACAATTGGCTTGCCACATTCTCCTTGGCTTTTCCTGGATCGCTGTACCTTTTTAGAAAAGAAGTAGGCCTGGTAGGTGACAAGTTTACTAAGTACGTTATTTGTCTAAAATTATAGACAATTGCGCATGCGTCAACCATGCAGCTCAACTCTGTTGAAAGAGGTAACTCTTAAAGATGGTGGTAAGCGATTATATCCTCAAAAAATATATTGTTACCAGAGTGTTATTGCAACATTGCAACAGTTTGTTAGGCGAGCTGGTTTTACCCAGCGATGTGAGTTGTGGAGAAATCGTGATATTCGAACTGCTCATCAAGTTATGTGTGACGTATTTGAAAGGACGAGTCTGGAGAGATTTTCAGATGTTCAATGGATCATCCTTTCTGGCATCTCCTCGTAATTATAGCTTTATGCTCAATGTTGATTGGATGCAACCATATGATCACACACCATATTCTGTCGGAGTTTTGTACCTTGTTTTGATGAACCTTCCGCGCAGTGAGCGCTTTAAAACGACAAAATATTTTTCTCGTCGGAATCATTCCCGGACCTAGTGAGCCCAAGAATAACATTAACTCATACCTTAAACCACTCGTTGATGAGCTTGTTGTTCTTTGGGAGGAAGGCGTGACCCTACGACATTCTGGCTCACTTATTTTACCCAAACGCTTTCGAGCTGCTTTGTTGTGCGTAGCCTGTGATATGCCAGCCAGTAAGAAGGTTTGCGGGTTCACTGCTCAAACTCTAAACGTGGTTGCAATAAGTGCACCAAAGAGTTCGTTACTGGTGGATTCGGTGATGCAACTGATTATTCCGGATTCAATTCGAGTAGTGGGAGAAATATTGTTGACCATAGGAGGCATGTTTGAGGAGATTTTAGCGCAGTTGACGCAGGAATTGCGTAATGCGAAGGAGTCTCTATATGGCGCTAGATATTCCGAACTTCTCCGACTACCATACTTCGACTGCATTAGGTTTACTATTGTTGATCCGATGCATAATTTATTTCTGGGAACTGCGAAACGCATGATGGAATTGTGGTTGGAACTTTCTCTTTTGACACGTGCAGATTTGGAACTTATTCAACAGAAAGTAGACATATGTAATACACCTTCAAACATGGGTCGACTTCCGTTCAAAATAGCCAAGTCGTTTTCTGGATTTACGGCAGAACAGTGGAAAACCTGGGTAAACTGTCTTCTCTCCGTTTGCATTGTTAGGTCATCTACCTGGTAAACATTACAAATGCTGGTTGAATTTTGTTAAAGCTTGTAAAATTCTGTCACGGCCAATGATTAAAATACATGACGTGGTTCTTGCGCATTCTCTGCTTGTAAAGTTCTGTCGTGATGTCGAAAAGTTATATGGAACACAACGCATTACACCGAATATGCATATGCATACACATTTGGCCGATTGTATTCTTGACTATGGACCAGTGTATAGTTTTTGGTTGTTCAGCTTTGAACGGTACAATGGCATACTAGGTAACTATTCGAACAATAATAAGTCAATTGAATTGCAAATTATGAGAAAGTTTTTGAGAGATCAGAACTTGAGAGAACTTGAATTCCAAAATGTGTGCAGCATTTTAGCGATTTGACTGATAAACTACAACAGCGCGAAGGCCATCAATCTTGTAGCGAAATAGTTGATAGCAAGCTTGCAATTGATATTCTTCATTTGTGTGATGGTAGGCTTGACATTCGTGATGAGTTATGGTTTACTCTGGATGGTTACTCCCTTGGTTTACCTCACGTTATTGAACAGTTAGATTGTGATGAGCACGAGTACCTGAGTGCTGTTTACAAAATATTTCTTCCTGGCATACCAGTCGACAACATTCCTTACCTCTACGACAAATACGCGTCGATCGAATTTTCAGGGGAACGATACGGGTCAGAGTTTTCCCGTCTAAGTCGTTTTGCTTACATTTTAGCAAGGTGGGCAGGACGATTCCATGGAGGTGTGGATATGGAAGGTGTAGAGGAAAGACCGGCATTATCGATTGTTTCGTACGCCAGTCGATTTCGTATCGGGATAAGGTACATTCGTTTTGTTTTGCGCACGTTCCCTGGTTTCAACGGCACCCTGAACGATTTCATTATGGTAATGATGGAGTTACGCCCGAGATTTGGTGCTCAAACTTGTTCGAGAGTTTTGGTCCGGCGTCCTTTATACCCGTTCAACGCATAGCGCGAAATTTAATACCCGGTTATGATAAAGTTGATGACGAAACCATCTTGTTTGTTATGCCATTGGAAAGGCGAATTCTTCTGTGATTCAGATGGAATTTGGAGGCTAACTAGTTTAAGTCTGACTATAGCACATTCAAATCAATGCCCTTGATCATGGTTCTTCGTAGTGCTTTAAAGTTCGTAATACCGTGCTGACAGAACTGTGACGTATTTAATACCCAGAAATGGGGGCAGATCAGGGTTAAAGCAACACATAATTAACGGCGTTAAGTGGTTTAATACATGAATGCATCCATGCATGCACGCTATATAACCATATGCCCTAGATTATAACCGCTATTTGTATTATCGCGTTATTAATTCGTGTAAGCCCTAATGGATACTGAACAATATTTAATTTGTAGGTTCTTGAAAGCTTGCATGTTGAAAACAGTATTTTATCGTACGTTTGTGGAAATACCGCGTGAAAAATTTAATTTGGCAATCCTCTGGGGCCGGTTGTATAACTGCATGTACTGTAGTTAACGACAGAATTGGCCAATCAGAGTCGTGTATTGCTCA